ATTATAGTTATTATTATTTATATTTTGGGAATAAAAATATAAGACTGTATATAGAACATTTAAATTATTAACCGATTACATACACATTAAAGTTTTATAAAAGTACCCAAAAAACTTTATTTACTTGTTTTTTTTAACTTTCAACAACAATTTTTAATAACATCATTTTTTATAAAAAAAACTTTATCAGTAACTCTGTTTTTATTAACAGATAAAAAAAAAGCAAAATAAACGCGTTTAAAAAAAACAAATTTGAAATTTTGGTTATTGTTTTTGTTTAGATAAAACGTGTAAAAAATATTTTTAGATTTTTTTAAATAAAATAACTAACAATTCTTTTGTTAACCCATTCGGCCGCACAAATCAACGAAAAATATAATTTTAATAAGTTTGTCTTGCTACTCCGATGTTGTCACAGTAATAATAAAAATTTTTCTACTCATTACTAGTGTCTGGAAAAAAAGTAATCGATTATATTTCAGACCTAAAGATAAAATCGCATTATAACAGTTGTAAATACTGGTTTCTTATAACTTGCTGTCGTGTCGACCATGTGAAAACTGCTGAAAAATGTCTTTTCATATTATAGCAAATTTATATGTAATTTATTTTTAGAAATTTTTCTCATTTTTATATTTATGGAAAAACGCCATTTTTAGCATTTTGTTCATTTTGCCCCCCCCCCCCCCAAAAATACTGTTGGCCAGTTAAAATACATTTAGTATATTACTTATGAACACTACGTTATTATGTACATCTTAACTCAATTTGAATGTCACAGAAATATACGAAATGTGCTTATTTTGTACATTTTAGTATAGAAATTTATACCAATTGAAATTACAATAAGATTTGTACCTTTGTTGATTCCTGGTGTTAAAAACAAATCCGTTATTTTTAACTCGATTTTTTGTTTATTTTAAAAATTAGAAAAATACAATGCTTTAAATGTTTTAGAATTGTAAGATTGTGTTTATGTAACAAAAGAAATACATTTTAGTTAAATGTTAACAAAACAACAATTCAAAAATGAGTTATTAAAGCATTAGTACCCATCAAAGTTGATTTTGGTAGTTGAAGAGAAACACAACAACTTAATGAAGAAAGTGAAGTGCAGTCTTTAAAACACATCAATCCAACACTTTTAACTGTAAGTGGAACAACAAAATACTGTAATGAACGACAACCATAAAACGCCATATCTTCAATTTGAATGACAGAACTTGGAATTTGTATATTCAACAACGAAACACAATTTTTAAACATAAAATTTCGTATTTTTGTGAGTGTAGTTGGCAGTTTTATATTAACTAAATTGACCAAATTTGCAAAGCACAAGTGTTTTCCTAATACAACATTTTCATCAAATAAAATGTTTTGTAAATTTGAACACCCAACAAACGATAAATCGTCGACAAATAACACACTTTGAGGTATTTTAATTTCAGTCAACGTTGTGCAATCTGCAAAAGATCTTTTCCACAATTTTGTTACTTCCCTCCCAATTTCTATGTTTTTCAACTCACAGAATTTGATCAAGAATTTATCACTGTAATTCGCTCCTTTTGCAACAACAAACTTTGGGTATTTCTCCAACTTACTGCACCCATACAATGTAAAGTCGTCTATTTCAATTTGTGTCTCGTTTGTTTTAATTTCAGTGAGGCTAGTGACATTATAGAACGCTTTGTACGGCAGTTTTGTTAATCCAACAGGCAATCTAACACTCTCAAGATTAATTGCGCCACTGAAAGCCCCAATACCCAGATGTGTCAACTCGTCACTTAACTCAATTTTTGGTCTACTTTTAAAATTACACTCACAGAAACAGAAGTCACCAATATCCTTAATTGCTCTAAACCAGATATAAACAATGTCCTTCTTATAGCAAGTCCTATGAGCAAGGATGTTAGCTGGTTTCGTTGGTATACCAAGGGGGTCTTCACACCAATACCCATTTTCACTTGAAGAAAATCCGGGTGTTGTATATACCATCCCTTTAATATAATTAAACCCTTCAGCTACACTGTCTGCCCAGCACGGGCCTTGTTCGCACTTTTCTTTGTAAGGGATTAAGTAATCGACAACTATGTTTTTACCACTGGTATGGTAAGTGTGATACGAGTCAAAGTGAGTTAAATAGACAGCACCTTGTGGACTATTAAAAAACACTTTATAACACTCGTTCAAATCAATTGACTTCAATGCAGTGTTAAGTGTGATATTAATATTTCTGCAATAATCACAGGTGATCTCTTTAAGCACGACAACAGCCAAATTGATTGGTTGGTTATATAAATTTGACAATTTTATCGAAGTCAATGAAGTTGGGAGTTTTGCAAAGTCAAAACAATCAAAGGAAACGTTTACAAACGATAAATTTGCCATATCTACTTGATCGGAAATGACTGTTTTTGTTGGTGAAATGATGTGCTTTTCTCTGACTGGTGTACCGTGTGTAACCAATTCAAGTACTTCAAGATCAGCTACTAAATTCACAAAAACGCGGTAATTGAATTGCTCATCTGGAGACATCTTGACAAACTCTGGCAGATTCAAAAGACTTTCTGGACATTTTAAAAGGCGTCTATTATATTCCCTTTCTTCAATGATGATATCATAGTTGGGAGGTAATTCAAAAAAGTCGGTCATTTTAGTTGGACAAAGTGTGTTGTAATCCATTTTTTTTAAAACTTCGATTTCGATTTCTTGTGAACAGAAAAAGTGAATTTCTTTTAAGGAGTCCGTTTTAACACGTTTTACTGTTGTCCTAATTTGAACAGTAAACTCTTTGTGATCAGTGTTGTTGATTTCAATACTCATGCAATTAAGATCCGATAAATCAAGATCTTCACATGACCACTTCCAAATGATGATACTATCAAAAGTGTATAAAACAAGGTGTGAGTATTTCTGAATAAATGGAATTTCTTTTTCATTGAGTGTAATACTTTTATGAAAGTTCCAAAATGAGATAGGGATATTCCACATATTGAAAGTGTCCATATGTGAAACACTTAAAAACATCACTTTAAAAAACAATTTGATTTTATTGAAAATCCCACAGTCCTCCTCGGTCATTTCTTCGTCTTTTAAATATAAAATCTTTTCGAGTGAAAGTCCCCACTTTGCCCATACGAGTGGTAAGAAGTATTTTAACTGTCCTTTCCCACTTGAAATAATTCGAAGACGTCGCATAGAATAAACTTCTAAAAAGATGTTCAAATTGTTTTTAATTTTTTCAAGTAAAAGAATTTCATTATTTTTATTATTATCGTCACTATCATTTTTGGGTTGTTTTGTGGAGGGACTATAATGGTGATGTCCATTAAACTTTTCATATGTGTAACATTTTTCACAAAAAAGTCAAATGTGTCGACTGAATAAATAACATAATTTTGAAACTTCGAAAGATGTTCGTTGTGAACTTTTGCAAACGGGCGGTATATTGAACAAATGTTGAACCTTTCACAATCCATGTAGGTGTCATCATTGACAGTAAATTCTCTATCAGAGTAATTAACAACTTTGATGTAATCTATTTGGGAATAAACAGAGTCAGGTATTTCTATTCTATAAGAAGGAATGTAAAGAGTGTGAAGATTTGGAAATAACTTCATCATGTCTTGAGCATAATGACTTGCAACATAGTTAATGTAATCAACTGTAAAATCAAATTCGCGCCATTTTTCAATTACAAGAGGGTTGATTTGAAGACGTGACATTAATCTCTTGCACTTTTTGTTGATTGTAGAAAACACAAATAATGAGTCGAATGTGTTTATATACAATACAACATTCATCAAAAAGAATTCCTCAAGTTGTTGTGTCATTGATTTTTTCAAGTTTTTTTAAATCTATATATATACAATTCGTCGGTTTTTGCATTTTAATTATATCAGTTTATCATTTTTTAAAATTATTAAAATAGTTTATTATAATAAATTAAATTATATTTAATATGTATATTATTGTTCAAGTCAAGACTCAATTTATATAATAGTTCTAACATTGTTCTATTTATACGATTTATTTTTTACTGTAAATTTTGCTCATTTAATTTATTATTAATTTCTATTTTAATTTATTCTATTTAACTATTATATCAATAATATTTTCACTTACTACTTTGAATTTTCTTAATAAAAATTATAAAACATCAATTTAAACAATTTTAATTGTTGTTTGGTTACTTTGATGCAATGTTCTTGTTTATACATAAAATCAAAACTCAAAATATGAGTCTTGACTTTAATAAAAATTATAAAATTTACAAATTATGATTTTTATGAAGAATCATAAAAATAACAACTAATTATTGTCCAGAAACATTGGGAAAAAACAATTTTTATGTCATTTTTATTAGACTTCGGGCCCGCGCTTTTTATTGTGAAAAATTAGTATTTAAAAAATGCTATTAAAACGGCTGTTATTTTTTACCCGGTTTTTTGGCGTTTTTAATACTAATAATATCAGAAAAAAAACGGGCCCGAAGTCTAATTTTTATATACCTTTGGTAGTCAATTTTGTCAGCCCGAAATAGAGCAATTTACAAAAAATGAAAAGTTTTGTGTAGATTATATTTGGGTTTTTTCCCGCCTTTTAAATCTTTTTTATTGTGTTAATTTGAATGTTATTTCATTTCAACGATTTTTAAAAACCGCCACGTCACCAATGTTTAAGCATTATCTGCTATTGAAAAAAACGGACCAATCAGATGTGCATTTTTGTTTTGTAGAAGCCACCAGTTTATGTGGCATTTCAATTTACAAATAAAAAAATATAAACAAAAATATAAGAATGTGGAATTTTGATCAGTAATTACGGGATATAATACAATTATAATTATTTCTGTTTGTTTTGCCACAGAAAAACATTTTAATATGTTGCTTCAGTTTTCCAATTCATGTTTTTAAAGATAAACTTATATTATAATTTGAAAAATTACTTCCTTTCATTCAAAAAACAGTGTAATTAATTTAAGTTTGTTATTACAAAAAAAACAGTCGAGAAAATATGGAGTTTGTTTATTCTTTAAATTAAAAATTAATAACCAATAATTCACAACATAATAATAATGGTAACAATATAACACCCAATTAATAAAGTTTTTACATATATAATAAAACATTTGTTAATTTGCAAACGTTCAAA